GATGGGTAGTTGCAATTGAACTTCTGAATGCAAAGGCAGTGCCCCTTCAGCTAATCATTTGTTGTTTGCTCCCTGCAGAAAAATACCTGATATATTTTAATAACTTGAGAGCCAAGTAATGCTCAGAAATGGGTACCAAGTCCCTTCATTCATTTACCAATACCAAGAAACGATCTTGTGTAAAGTGGTAATCAAAAGTAGTTTCAAGGTGGAGAATGGCTCAGATGATTAGTGAGAAACATATCTAAATTCTTTGCAAACTCCTATCATACTCTTTTTGGATAATGCATGTACTTTGAAAGACTTCTTAAGAGAAAAATAAGTGGTGTGTGCATGTGGGTATATGTGTATGAGAGACAGTGTGTGTGTGTATGTCTCTATCTTCTGGTACAGATGTGTGAACAGTAGGGCTAGAACACACTAATGCACTTGTTTTCATGTACTATCTTTATCAGCAGCATAAATAACTCTCTCAAAGTACATTTGCTGCTCTTCTTGAGTGGAGGGAGGCAAGCAAGCTTTTATTTTATTCTAGTCCCCTTTTCTAATGATGTGCTTACCCAGCAGTAAAATGGGTAAATTTATTAGGTTACCTATAGATAATGTTTTTCCCTGCCTTCCTTCACTAATGAGTCTTTTAAGACAGTAGAAATGGCTACTAACTCTGACTACTTTTTTGGGGGGAGGGTTTAGAAAAATAGTAAATGAAAGTAAATGAATGTATCCATTCAAACTTTAATGGCATTATTTTTTAAAAATCAAAATCTCCTTTTTTCTTTAATATGTAAAAACACGTTCCTTATGCTTTTTTGAGAAAAACTTAACTGTCTACCTTTCTGTTTGTTGATACTTCCTTTTACTTGAACTAAAATGTATTAGAGAAGAAGAAAAAGATATCATGAAAGTCAGATCCTGATGTTTTATGGGAATCTTTGTAATTAGAAATGTTCATATTTTTTTTCCTCCTGATCATCTAATATTCCCATGTCTATTCTGACTCTTTGTATCTTCTCTAGCAAATACTGTCTGCAGAGGCTCATAAGCCTATTTTTCAGAGCATATTTCATTAATCCTATTTATAGATTTATATTTCTTAGTTGGTTAAGTCCTCTCTCTCCAGACTCTTTTTGGTCATCTATATAGTGGCTTCACGTGATAGGTGGTATATTTATAGGATATAAATGCTATTTAACAACAAATATTTCACAAAAAAATTAGGAAGTATTGCTTTGAGTGAAACTTAATATTTATCATACAAATAAAAGAATCATTATATTGAAATAAACAAATTAGCCATATGTATTGGTATCTAGTGGATACATGATCTCTAATGGATACATGAATGAAAGAATGTAGTAGTTGCCTCCAGGCTATTGAAATTCAGTGATCACCCCAAAATTCTATTAATAGCTTTTTATTTATCTGTTATTTAAAAATAAATCATAGTTCCCCTAATTTATACAATATTATAACATGCTCTGAGGCACAGATATCTTAATTAATAGAATCTAAATCTTACTTACTATTTGATCCTCCTGAAAATAAAGAGATTTGAGCTGGCAAAATGCACTAACGTGTTCCATTCTCAAACTATACAGGGAATTAGGTAGCTGCTGTCCTTGGTGATGAAATTATTTCAGTTGAATTCTTAAGGAAAATAACTAGTTAAAAAAGCAGGATAATCTTGAATATACTGTTTGTGGCTACTGTTAGTATTTTCATAGATCTATGTGAACTTCTAGAAAAATACAGACTGGTATTATATCTTAAGGTCTTAAGTTCCTGACTGCCAGGCAGAGGAAATGTTTAACTATTCTAATCATGTTTCTGTATCTCAGAAAGAAAGCCCTTATGAGAGGAAATGACAGCGTCCTACCACAAAGTTATCTCTTATCAGTTACAGTCCCAGTCGATAATGATTTGTCAAATTTAGACATGTGTAAAATGCCAGGGCTGTGTTATTTACTTTGGAAAGGAAAAATTAGATGAAGCTGATAAAGAAGGAGTCATGGCTTTTGTTAGGAGACAGAAACCATTAGAGACAGTTATTGTTAGCTTAGGAAAGTGTCCTTGGACCCCTCCTTCTGCCCTGGGTGAAACCTAAATCTGCTTGAATCATTCTTTGCAACTTGAGGGGAGGGAGGAGCAAAGGAGGGGAAGAAGTACGAAGGAAGGGAAGGAAGGCCACTTTGACAGAGAGTTAGCATTTTAAATGCAGAGCAAAATGTGGACCTTAAACCAGACCTATTTCTGTGAGTCAGGAAAATCTACCTTTTGTTCTGGTACTCTTCCTCACCCCCGTTTATTTAGGGTTTTGAAAGTTCATTTCTTATTCTTCTAAACATGTAGCATTCTTTCATGTCCAGTGTATGTTGCTCTTCTCCTTTTGCCTTTCCGTAGTTGTAAGTGATTCTTTTTCATTAGTGGAAGCAGAGAAAACACATCTAGCTCAAAGCAACATGAGTCAGTGCATACTTTACATACCTTTATCCTCACAGCACTCTTCTTGGTTCCTCACAGTGTTCATTCCTAGTGTTCCTCACAGAGGGGAGCATAGAGGAAAAATGATTTCTAAACATTAGGCTATTTTGGGGATAGAGGTAAAGATTGTGAACTGAAACCTTGTTTTGCTCCGTTATTTTTTCCCCTGGATTTCTGTGTGCTGTTTTCAAAGCAGGCAGTCTTGTGCTTAGGAAAACTTAACTGGATGATGGTTCTAGAGCTAAGATACAGTGGAGCCAATACTTATAGGTCAGGGAACTTTGAACAACAGGTCAGGGCACTTTGAACAGTTTGAAGCTGAGTTAATGATGTCACAACAGCCTCATGGAGAATAGGTTTGGTTGTACATATTTGTTGGAGATGACAGAAAAAGGCCTTTATATCTCCTCTCTAAATATATCTATTTTTTTATAGTTTGTCCAGATAAAACAGTCTTAGCCCATTAGTAACCAAATATCTTTGTTAGGGGGCCCTGTTAGCTTATTCATCACAGATTTCTAGGGAAACTGCCCCTTCATGTGGATGTTCGTTCTGTAAGGATGGGTCTGATGTGTGGAAGAGCCAAGGCTCTGCCTGAGGAATGGCCAGAGGCAGTTTCCTTTTGACTGAAGCCATGCCTCTGAGACAAAGTAAAACAAAATAAATAAACTGTATGAAGAACAACACATAAACAAAGTTATGATTAAACTGGCTATTCAATGTTAGGTAAGATAAATTTTCTAAACTTTTTGTAAATATATATTTATAATAAATAACTATAATTATTTCATCTAAATAAAAGAAAAAAATTTCATTTCCTACACAAATCAAACTTTTCTAACGTGTTTTCTTCTTGTCTTTTTTTCAAAGACATGTGTAGTTTTTATTTAAATACTATGGTGAATATAATTTTTTGGTGTTTTTCTATTTTTCTTCTTTCGAGATTATATTTTACGTAGTTGAAGGCTCTGGTTTTTCTGGCAAGATAAAAGAAATTTCCTGGTGTTTGGCAAGATGAAATAGGTTCTGTTTTCCTATCCAGATAAAATAAATTTCCTTCAAATCTCTACTTTACAATCAAAAAAGGGAGACTATAAAGATGTTTTAATGTTGTCATTTCAAATAAGAATTCCTAAAGTGATCATTTGTTGACTCTTTTTGTGTTAAGATGAAAATGAGTGTCTACTTGTACTGTCACAGTTATAATTTTTACATGATTTTTAATCCTACTTTTTATTTTAACTGCTTGGTGCCCATCTGTGCATAAAATGCTTTTCTCAGTAATTTACAATGCTCATTAACTCTTATAAAGCCTTTTTTTATTTCTTAAGTCAAATTGTCCTTGGGCCATGGTGTGGGATCTTGAGCACCTTACCATCAGTCTTTAGATTCACTTAAAAGTTTGTTGTGCGTGCTTACACAGTATATAGCACTATGAGGTACTTAAATATAGAGATTTAATTTTTGCCCCCATGAATGCGGAGCAGATGAACAGAACCGTCAATAAATTTGAACCAATGAATACAAAGGCGTGATGGTTTCAGAGGGAAAAGAAAGTGGGGCTTGTGCTTTTGAATTGCAGAATGAGTAGATTTCATTCAAGAAAAGCATCTTGGTGAAGATGCTATACCCCCAAAGAAGAAATGAGGTTTAATTCTTTATGTAATTTTTTTCCTTTTTCCTTTTGCTTAATTTTGTTTTGTTTAACATTTATCTTCATTATCTTCTTTTATTCTTGTTAAATCCCTATAAGTCAATTGATAGTTTCCTTTTTTTAATTGAGGAAATTGAGGCCAAAGTAAATTGTGACTTACTCATTGTCAGGTCACATAGCAAATCAGTTTTAGCACTGAGACTAGACTCTAGTTCTTACCTGATATTTTTTCTTTTACTTTCTCTTTTGATGTCTAGGTTTAATTGACATGCATTATTCATGTTATAATCTGTTGTGATTACTTGTGGGTTTGGCTTTTCCATTCATTATCTTATTTTTCACATAATTTCCCCTCTCTTCCCAGCATATTTCTGTATTCTGAGTGCATGCTAATTCTTGTGCCCTTCAGAAGTTGGATGGCAAACCACTTAATTCATATTGTGTGCCAAGTTTTGGTTTTGACTACTGAAACTTAGTTTTTTATGTAAACTAACATGTATCTTAGAAGACAAAGTCGAGTTATCAAAGTCACATTCCTACATTCTTACTTTCCCTTTAGAGTCCCATGGCCCAAGATGTACCTGTAAAGGTAGATACAGGATTAGTGCCACCTGTTTCTCTTCTCTCCTATCCATGCCTGCGAGCTTTGTCCCAGCCTTGGTGGTATATCTTTACAGTTTATTAATGCCATGGCTAAAATACCAGAACTAGATCTTTTGGAGCATATGTTTTTTGTTTGTTTGTTTTGTATCTCTAACTTTGAAGCTAGGACTTTTAAAAAAACAAAATGCTTGAGTAGTAAAAGTGAATGCAATTGCTCTTAATAGCTTTCTTTGAATTTTTTGTGATAATCTTGTATTTGCAGGTACCTGGGGCCCAAGATTTGGTGGATTTCTCTCCTGTTTATCGATGTCTACACATATATTCTGTCCTGGTGAGTTTTTATCTGGCTCTGACTAATAAAGATATATATTAAATTCAAAACTCTGCTTTCTCATTTTTGGTAGTTTTTATGTATTTTTAAGAGTGGGGAATGAGAAACTATTGCTTAAGCAGTATTATTTATAAAAAATAGTATATTTTTCTTGCTTCTTGAATCTTTTGTTTATGTCTGTTATGTAACATGCTATAGCTAGTGACGTTTCTATCAGTTGTCAACAAATTAGCTTGTAACTAGAAATATTCATATGTTCAGATTTCTATTTTTAATTTAATAATGTACTTATTTAAATAACAATAGCCCATATTTACACATTAAAATAGTATTTGTGAAAATGTTCAAATTTTCAATTTCTGATGACTATTTTTCTTTTTGTCATATAAAGCATATGAAAAAAGGAACCTCTTTAGGGGGTGGGGAATATTGTGGGTATTAATTATATTCTAAAAAATGGCTCCTTTCTCCATCTTGATAGTATACCCACATGAAGACACACAGATACACACAAAGTGAATAAAATATTAAACTCTAGTATCAACAAACATAAATTGGTGAGAGAAGCCTGTTAGTGATATTTTTTATAGCAAAGTTCAGTGAAGCTTATATCAGGTTGTTTTTAATATATTCAAGTATGTCTTATTGTCCACTCTGTTCCCATTTTCGTTCTTCATAGATTTAACATAGTCACTTAATCATTACTCCAGACAATGGGACAGTGATCCATGGACTTTATGGGCTGAAGTATTTTGTGGTAGTTTCCATTAGTTTCGGAAAAGACCTAGTAGCTTCCTCTGCTCTTCCTTTCCCTCTCCTTCCTGCTTGCTCTTCCTCTTTTCTTCTTTCTTTCCCTCCCTCTCTCTTCTCCCTGTAAACTCCCTCTCTCTCCATCTATCATTCCTTCTTATATAAAGATGAAGTTGAATGTAGATTGAATTGTATCAAAGCATCTAAAACAAGTAGACAATTATTTTTCAATCTCAGCTATGGATAATTAAATCATATACATCTTAGATTGTGATATACTATTATCATTTTGTACAAGGGCCCCTCTTATATTATATTATATTTTTCAATTCAGTCCCTATTCACAAGGACTAATGTCTTCTATTTCCAAGAATACTAACTCTAATATGTTTAATACATGATCATGGATGTGCATGTGTCTTTGAAAAATATATAGTGATTTTGTATATGTATGTGTTTTTAATTTATTCAAATGGTATTGTGCTATTTATCTACTTCTATTTCTTATATTTTTTATTCAGCACTATCTTAAATATCTATCCTTGTTAAAGTGTGTATATCTGGCTCATTTTCTCTTCCTACTGCATGATAGTTAATTGATGGTTTGTATTTGCTATGTTTTAATTATATATTACTTTAGTCACCATAACTTGAATTGCCTCTGGTATTCTACTGTAACAAATAGTACTCTCTTATGAACTCATGTGTGAGTTTCTACCTAGGAGTAGAATTGTGTCATAAGGTATAATACTTAATTTTACTAATTTCTAATTTTTGCTAACCTGATAGATTTTGAATGACTTCTCTTTTTTTTAATATGCATTTCTCTGATTATTGGTAAAAATTTTGCTTCTCTTCATAGACTTACTAATCATTTGAGATTTTTCTTCTATAAAATGCTTAAATTTTTAACTTTCATTCAATTTTTGTATTAGGTTTCTTATTTTTTTCCCTCTTTTCTGGAAAGAGAAATTTCCAGAAATTCCTTATATTGTAGATATGGACAGTTTAGGATGTTGCAAATGTCTTTTGTTTCAGCATGTTACCAGACTCTAAACTATGTCTATGTTTTCTTTGATGAAACAGAGATCTTTAATTTTGATGTGATCAAGTCCACCAATTTTTTTTTTTTTTTTTTTTTTTGAGGCAGAGTCTCACTCTGTTGCCCTGGCTACAGTGATTGCCGTGGCGTCAGCCTAGCTCACAGCAACCTCAAACTCCTGGGCTCAAGCGATCCTCCTGCCTCAGCTTCCCAGGTAGCTGGGACTACAGGCATGCGCCACCATGCCCGGCTAATTTTTTCTATATAGTTTTAGTTGTCCAATTAATTTCTTTCTACTTTTAGTAGAGATGGGGTCTCGCTCTTGCTCAGGCTGGTCTCGAACTCCTGAGCTCAAACGATCTGCCCGCCTCGGCCTCCCAGAGTGCTGGGATTACAGGCGTGAGCCACCGCGCCCGGCCAAGTCCACCAATTTTTAACTTAATACTTTTTGAGTTAATACTTTTTGAGTCTTATTTTTTTTTTTTTAAAA